GCAGTGTTGGGTAGAGGCAGAGGCAGAGAGGCGGAGGCGGAGAGATGGGCGGAGGCAGAGGCGGAGGTGGGTGGAGGCATTGTCGGAGGCGACGGTTGGCGGCGACGCTGATGAATGATCTACAAGAGAAAGAAGATGTATAGTATTTTTGCCTTTATTTGATATTATTTTTAAAAAGTTAATATATTTATGAAATTTTATTAAAAATATTAATTTTATTGATATTAAGGCCCAAAAGTTGCCCTTAACTGCAATAATCCCAAAAATAATCTTCTGCCAATAATTTTAATATATTTTAATGTGTTTTTCATTAAAATATAAATTCAAATTGAAGCACTGATCATGGGATGAGAAAATGACATCTTGTAAGACTGCAGATAACTGATTAGTACCTACCACATATATATAACCTGCCTTCGTTTTAAATTATAAGGATTCTTGAAAAATGAAAGCAATTAAGTTGGTTCAGCTACTGATGAGATTGGCTTCAATGCTCATAAGATCTTGTTCATAGCGTTTGCATAGCTTTTTACAACCGTGCATTCGGAATATTTCCATACTTGTATGCTTTTTTTCATGGGGAGATATTGATATTCCCTATGCAAGGCTCCAAAGGACTATATGAACGGTGTGAGCATGGTCTTAACTCTTGTGAGGGTCAAATCCGATTTTCTGACTGACGCCCACCAAATATAAGCTGTTCATGTGAGGCACACCTCAAAAATCTAGAGGTGCACTGCTACACTTCAGCCCTCCCAAACGGGCATTATATGTTTGAATGAAGTTTCAAGTGAATTTAAAGAGCATGTGATTGTATGGTTATATGTAGTTCAAAGTATCGTTATGTATCGACTGATATGGGTTGATATGTATCGTTGATATGGGGACCCTTCCGATACGCCCCTACAGTGGGTGTATCGGGGGTCTGACCAGTTCAGGGGATGGAGGGGTCCTAGACCGGCTCCCCTGAACCAGTTTTGAAAAAAAATTAAAAAATAAGTAAAAAAACAAGTATCAAAACGCCCGATTCGCCCCTAGTGGCGTATCGGGCATATCGATATTTTGAACCTTGTAAATATAACTTTTAGTTTATTTATGTGATATTGTATGTTTTTGGTTCCATTTACGTTTATTGAGTAAACGGTGCCTCATAGGTGCCCCATCAACAAAGGCTTCATTAATTACATCCATACGTATCGATGTGATTTCTGTGCGCCTCTCTCGTTTCAGAAAGTTTCATTTTGGAGATTCTTGAAATGGGTAGGTGTTTATTGGCATTTTACTGATGTGGTGCCTAATGGCGCTTGTGTCATAAACGCCCTCATTAATTGCTTTTCTTGGTTTTGAAGCCATACAAGTACAAAATGTTTACTCAATAAATGTAAACAGAACCAAACACCTTCATTGTATTTTCACCCCTTTGCAAAAAACCGACATTAATATTTCTTGAGCTAAATTGTCTCCTTCATAAGGAGAGAATGACCATCAGCCAGTGGAAAACACAGCCACATAACCCATTTACCACATAAAGTATAAGATTCAACCAATGCTTTAAAAACCAACACGGAATTCATCCGCCTAATATTTTCAAAAAAATAAAAAATAAAAAATGGCCTAAAAACCATTATTCGGTCGAACAAGTTGATAGTTCAACTGTCTGGGTCAATGAATCACTAACTAATTCAACGTTTTTTTAATAAAATAATGGTTCAGGACTGAAATGGAACTGATACCTTGACCAATTTCCTAACCAAACGGTCTGACCGACTGTCTTGGTCAATAACGGTTTTAAAACCTTATTTCAAACAATAAAAAATTAATTCAAATAATAAATATATATATTAATGAGAAGATAAAAAGCATGCAAGCAGGCTAATAAAATGAAGACTTCTCCCACAAATGAATAGGAATCCAAGAGTGAAAACTTTCCACGCACTACACCTTTATAGTGTATAATGTGAATGTGGTTCAATTGTTTAGATCACCAGTACTCACACCATGACTAAAGCAAATTGGGATATACTCGTCACATTGTGCACCTCAAAGCCACATTCCACCTTATATTGGGAACACCGTCTTCCATGAATAACAAGTATAAATATGAAAGATGTTCTCGATGTATGACAAGAATATGCTATGAGGTTGGTATGGCAGATCCGGACTTGATTAAAGCTTATATATGGAAACCTGCTGACTGACTGAAACTGGATCTCTTGTCTACAAGAACTCTGCCCATGTCTACTTACATAACATCGCAGACGTAGGGAGGGGATCCAGAGTCCTGCCAACCGCCGTTGATGCATTTGTCTCAAGAATCCAAATCCTCCTCTACGGTTCTACTCATAAAATACTGGGGCCAATAAGGATAAACCATGACATGTACATACACAAGGATCCAAGACGTCAGGCTGACGTTGTGTATCATGATTGCCCACCCAATATCCTACGGTAACTGTAGAGTATCTCTTACAGAGCAGCAAAACCCAGACTCCATCGAAACGGTCAAAACCTTGAAGTGGGGGCGGGGGGGGGGGGCTCAATTGGGAACCCCCAACTACCGGCTTCATTGCTTCTGTACTATCCAATTACTGTACTCCTTACTTCTGATCTAACGACAAAAGTAATTTGTACCAAGTACAATGTACAACCCATCCTCCGATTGAGACAATTTGACCATTCAGTCACCCACTCCACCCACCTAAAAAAAATAAACAAACAACCAAACAAAACCATCAACTCATAAATTAAGACGGGTAAGAAGGGAAGAGGATAAAAAAGAAGTTGAGAGTTGCCATGAACCATGGTCCATGGGCTTAGTGGGGATGAAAGCTTCATCCTTTCGTCATGATCCCAAATTGTGATTTTAGTCCACCAATTACATATTCACTAACATTCCAAGAATTGGATTGACACTTTTTTGGGTTAGAATCTATTTAGGATCTATACCCCACCTTTTCTCTTCTCTTGGGCTCAGTTTGTTTTGTTTGCAGTGTAAATTTCATTTTCATTGGTATAAATGTGTGGGAGTGCGAATGGGTAATAAAATGAAGTGGTCCACACTTTGTATGAAAAAGAATGTAATAGGGTTATTTGTTTGGGAATGAGGTGGAAGAAAGATGATGTGGTCTCCACTTTATATGAGAAAGAGGTGTGAATTCTGAATTAGTTTTTGAGATGCAAATTTGCATTACCAATGATTGCAAATGAAACAGTACAAATTTTGTCTGATAAGAATGCAAATCTTAATTGCAGATGGACACAAAATTGAACCGGATGCAAAATTTGTATCTAGATCAGATTTACACTGCAAACAAACAGAGACTTGTTTTTTTTTTTTTTATTCTTTTATTTGTTTCTGTTAATTAACATAGGAACCCAGCTTCTATTGTCATGAACTCCATCTGAATTTTAAAACCAAATCAATGATAGAGTAATTAACACCCAAACACAAGGCTTTGATCTCAAATCATTGGTCTTCTCTCTCAATAGCCTCTCTTCTACTACTGGCAGTTCTGCTACAATCAATTCATATGCCAATTCCTGAACGTAGAACAAATCTTCTCTCTTGTGCACAGAGGGCATATATTAGAAATGAAAGGATATAAAATCGATAGCCTTTTACATCGAAATATAATGGGATTCTCTCTTGTTCATGAGTTGGGGTGTTACCACTCTCCCTTGATTGTTCCATTGAACACAAGAAGACTAGAAATAGCAATAACTGACAAGTAGCAATAGCATTATACTTCAATAGATTCAGAATCACCATGGAAAGCTCAAGGTTCAACATATCGTTACAATCTAATACGCCAGTAGGGGTCGGACTATATCGGGGGCTCGCTCCCCTATTTTTTTTAGTTTTTCTAAACCTGGTTCAGAGGGGTCGGTTCACCTGAACCAGGTTAAACCCCAAAACACCCCCTGCAAGGGTGTTATCGGAAAGCCCCCGATACGATACATGTCGCCCAATACGGCCCAATATGTATTAAAATTTCAAACCTTAGGAAAGCTTCAGTTTGCAATCAGAGAGCATTGCAGAAAACTATTAAGTTGGGAGAGAAATCTACATTTCATATAGAGTGCATCCATATTCAGGGCGATATAAAGATACCCTCCCCTGTTCAAGGCACAAGAAGGTTGAGAAGGCCTAAAAGTACATTTTACCGTCCATCAGTGATTGGCCTCTTGCATACTAGATAGAACGAGGCATGTAACCTCAAGTCCTAAGTTGAATGACAAGTTGATATGCTTTTAACTTGACAAATGGAGATTGAATCTGGATTTTCAACTACCGGTTAACACTGATCTTACCCCTGGGGAACTTCATTGACAAGTTGATCTAATACCAATAATTATTGAAATTCACCTTCTCTTGATCATATCTGAAAGATTACCTATTCTTGTACCAAGCCCACACTGGCTGACAACTCAATCCACCACCTGATTGATTGATGCTTTTTGGCTTGGCCGTAAAAGTAAAACAACTAGGGTCGACATGTTCTATAAATGCCACTGGACATTTCTGTATGAAAAGACTGCCAACTAAGGACTTTGATCTAAAATATCAACAAACAAATGTCACATTATTGTAGATGTTTAGATGAGTATCGGTGGTGGTTCAATCAACAAGATTTAGTGGTACAAGGGTGCTCAATCAGAGATGATCGAGTGTCTGGAACTTGGGATGCAATAAGATTCTGATTGAAAGTAGTGTGTTGGTATTATTCGATATGGTTGGGACTTAAATCATTGATTGGTTAATTCCAAGGGAAATCACCAATTTTAGTGCAGACATGGGTAATCTGGCATGACAGTGGAGGACGGCAGAAGCAGAACCAAAACTACAAATGAAAAAAATAATGATAATAAACGAAATATAACAACAAATTAGAAAGTTCAAAAATTCAAAAGTAAAAAAGTTGAAAAGGAACAAAACAAAATAACTTGGCCACTGTATATATATATATATATATATATATTAAATTTGAAACTGATGGAAGTACAGGCTGTGGAAATCATACACACAGATTATATAGCTTCTGGTGAGATACAGATCTGGACTGGATAATATAAAAATGAATATATCTTGTCTATGAAATCGATATGGCAGCCCATCTATAAGGTTTGTAACTGTATTTGTACAAGTAGTGAGGAAGGACGTTCCACTCCAGCAATCAAAGCGTTAAGAACCCCATAGCCAATGCCTTCTCCTGTTTGCTCTTGTTGGAACATCTGCAAACATCCAGAGGGAGCATTGGCTTCATTCTTATATGCAGATTATCAGAAAAAATAAAAAGAAAAACGAATAAAACATAGATATCAAAGAAAGTAATAACAGACACAAGGTCAATACCACCAACTGCATATAAGGAGTTGTAGTGAACTTCGCTCCAGAAGCTCAGCCAAACCTCTGTGACAAAAAGAAAGATCATAAATCCAAATGGGAAAAAAATACTACTATATAATAACTCCACAAGTTCATCAAAAAAAAAAATACTCCACAGAAAATCCCATGAGAATAAAGTGCAAACCAACAATAACATTTTCCATACTGCACCAACACCACATTCAGACAAGTGAAATGATGTGTACCACCTGGACTGGTGACCCACCATGGGGACCACTAAAAATGATCAAGAATGACTAAACCATTTCATAAGATGAACGGAAATGGTTCAGGAGGAAGCTTGTAAACTGAACACTTACGGATGCCAAACAAGTCAGATTTGGCAAACCACGCTTAGGTCATAAATTAAAGAAGGAAAGAGAAAAGCTAGCTAAAAATTTTCCCTCTTTTCTGCCAGATACAGTTACATCATATACCACACGTATGGAACATTGTGTCAGCTCAGTGGTTTCCACATCTCTTGTAATGTTCTAGATGGTGAGTGTAAGATGCACTTGTATCTGATACAGAAAAAGAAATTTCTATTGTCAGAATTCCTCTTGAACATGGATAAATTCCACTTCCGACATTTTATGAACACACTATTTTGAGGATCATAGTTAACAACTGAATCTTAACAAACGAACAAGGTTCAAAGTATTGATACAATACGCCCCTGTATTGGGCATATAATATCGTATCGGCATCTGATACTATTTAAAGGTGTTTTCAGGAACCTATTTATTTTATTTATTAAATAATATTAAAATATTTATAAAAATGAAATTTTCAAAAAAAAAAGAACTAAAAATATAAAAAGCATATTGTATAAAGCACTAAACACCTCTGTGTAAGAAATAAGGTTACTTCAGTTTTTCTTCCCCTCAAAACACTGACAAAGGATTAAATAAAGCATTTCTTGCCTTTTTTATATAAATAACCTGATTTCATTTCATTAATATACTAGAAAGAAGAAGAAGAAGAACTGTTTACTGTATTAGAGAAGTAATACATGTTTGAAGAGAAGAAAAAGAGAGAGAGAGAGAGAGAAGAAGAAGAGTGAAGAGAGGAGAAAAGAAAGAAGGGGTTAGGTGGTTAATGATCTGCCGCCCCATCTTTATTTATAGCTTTAGGTTCCTTACAAGAATAGGAAATAAACAAAAATTAGAAACAATAAGGTCAGCTGGCCCAACTTAAGAGAAATTAGAAACTTCTAATAAAAGAAATTAGAAACTATTAATAAAAGAAATTAGAAACTACTAATAAAAGAAATTAGAAACAAATAGGTGTGAGTATGAAACCACACATACTAGAGCCTGAGTGTGGGTATGGAACCCCACACTCATGGCTAACCAACTATTTCTTCACTCCCCCTCAAGTTGGGAGTAGATATTTGTCATACCCAACTTGCGTAGATATGTCTCCAATTTGCTTTTTGTGACTGCTTTGGTGAAGAGATCAGCTAACTGCATGTCTAAGGCAATGTAAGGAAGGCATACTTCTTGAGATGTGACTCGCTCTTGTATAAAATGTCTATCAGCCTCAATATGCTTAGTCCTGTCATGCTGTATTGAGTTGTGGGCAATATTAATTGCAACTTGATTATCACAATACAGCATCAGAGGCTTCTCATAATCAACCTCCAACTCATTAAGAAAGGATCTCAGCCATAACACTTCTGCAACACCATTGGCCATGAATCTGTATTCTGCTTCTGCACTGGAGCGAGCAACAACATTTGGTTTCTTGCTTCTCCAGGAAACAAGATTTCACTCCACAAATGCACAACATCCAGAGGTGGACCTCCTATCATCAACACATCCAACCCAATCCGCATCTGTATACACTTCTATTTTCATATGACCATTATTCTTGAAGAGTACACCTCTCCTTGGACATCTCTTTAAGTAGGAAATGATCCTTTCCACTGCAAGGAGACGGGTGGTCTAAGAGAATGCATGTATTGACTGACAACACTGACGACATAAGAAATATCTGATCGGGTTAGACAAAGATAAAGAAGTTTCCCAACCGGCCTTTGGTACATAGCCCTGCCCTCAAGGAGTTCTCCACTTTCTGCACTTATCTTATGGTTAGGCTCAATGGGAGTATCAGCAGGTTTCACTCCTAACTTGCCAATTTCTTCCAATAAGTCCAGACATACTTCCTTTGGGAGATGAAAATGCCATGCTTAGATTGAGCAATCACAATTCCTAGGAAATAATGTAACTTTCTTAGGTCTTTCACTTCAAATTCCTTGTGAAGGTGTTGTTTAAGGGTTTCAATTTCACTAGTGTCACTTCCTGTTATCACAATGTCATCTACATAAACTGCAAGTAGAGTCAAGGAATGACTTGTCTTCTTAAAGAAGAGAATGATCTGACTGAGCCTGTATGTATCCGAATTTGTCCAAGCCAGTCTAAACCTATCAAACCAAGCTCTCGGGGATTGTTTCAACCTGTACAAGGCCTTCTTCAAAAGGAAAACTTTCTTTCCTGCTTTTGTACTATAAAAACCAGGGGGTAACTCCATGTATACTTCCTCTTTCAAGTCTCCGTTGAGGAAGGCATTCTTAACATCCAACTGAAATTGTGGCCATGAGAAGTTTGCAACAATGGATAGAAGAACTCTGATAGTGTTCATTTTTGCAATAGGTGCAAAGGTTTCTGTATAGTCTATGCCATAAGTTTGAGTGAATCCCTTTGCAACCAATCTAACCTTATGCCTCTCTACAGTACCATCAGCATTATATTTCATAGTAAACACATGCATCCAACAGGTTTCTTCCCTTCAAGCTGGTTAACTAGTTCCCATGTGTTGTTCTTGTCAAGAGCATCCATCTCTACTTGCATTGCTTCCTTCCATTCAGGTATCAAAAGAGCTTCTTGCACTTTTTTGGGTATAGGAATAGCAGAAATAGATGCCAAGTAAGACCTATAGGATTCTGAGAGACAATTATAGGAAAGGAACTTGGAGATGCAATGGGCAGTTGATGAGGTGCAACGACGCTTCCCTTTATAAATAGAAATTGGAAGATCAAGGTCATCTGTCGCTGAAGGCTGAACATCTGTAATAGTGGGAACAATAGTGGGAGCAGTAGTAGTGTCTGGATCTAGAGCTGTAGAAGATGTTGGAACTGGCCTAGATTGCTGTTGAGTATGAGAACCAACCTGCCTCCACCACTTTCTGTGATACACTCTCAACTCCTTGCATTTTTTACAACCTTCTTCGCAACTCCACCCCAGTAACCAAGACAGGTAAAGGAACTCTTAGAGCCGAAATTGAAATCCCTTCATCACTATTCTCCCCTTGAGGAGAAGACTTATGATAGTAGGGCATATCCTCAAAGAATGTGACATCCATGGACACAAAGTGCTTCCCTGAAACTGGCTCATAATAGCAATATCCTTTTCGATTTTGTGCATACCCAAGGAAAATACACTTAGTGGCTTTGGGATCAAACTTGGAGCGATGAGGTCCAAGGATTTGAACAAAACAAGTACACCCAAAAGTTTTGAGGGGAATAGTGAATAGGTCCTTATCTGGACATAGAAGATTGAACGGGGTTTGCATGTTTAGGACTTGTGAAGGAACCTTGTTAATGAGGTATATGGATGTACGGATTGCATCTCCTCAGAAGCGTATGGAACATTGGAGTTGAGCATGATGCTTCTGGCTACCTCTAAAATATGCCTATTATTTTTCTCTCAGCAACCCTGTTTTGCTAAGGTGTGTGAGGACAGGTGCTCTGATGAATGATCCCATGATCAAGGAGATAAAAAACGGGTATAGTCATCAACAAATAATAAGAAATATCTGTACTCCCCCCCCCCCCATGGTGGGAGTATGATAGGACCCCCAAACATCGGTATGCACAATCTCAAAAGGAAGGTTGCTTCTTTTATTACTTAAAGGATAAAATGATCTACTATGTTTTGCAAGTTCACAACTTTCACATTTTAACCCAGACACTTCTACTAACTCAAACAAGTTTGGAAAAAGACTCTTTAAAGACCCAAAAGATAAATGACCTAAGCGGTTGTGCCAAAGCATAATCTTACTACAAGATTGAGAAACAAGCAATTTCCTTGCTTCACTCTGCTCCCCCTGTGAATGTTCCAACAGGTAGACTCCATTCATCTCACGGCCAATCCCAATCACCTTCTTCGTTTCTAGATCCAGAAAAATACACCGATCAGGGAAAAATGTTACTAAACAGTTTTGATTTTTAGTAATACTACTAACTGAAAGTAAGTTAGCACTAAGCTTGGGAACATGCAAACTGAGGATAGGGTGATGGTATCTGCTAATCTGATGTCTCCCTTACTAGAAATTGGTACAAGAGAGTCATCAGCAATAGAAACTTTGTCTCTCCCAGAGAATAAACAATAGGTGCTAAATATAGTAGATACGTTGGTCATATGATCTGAAGCACCTAAATCTATTACCCAGGAAGGTCTAGTATTACCTGGGACAGAAGCATGGCAAGCAGTAGCTCTTGTACCTGTATGAGCAAGGGCTGAAATAGGTTGTTGAGCTGATGTAGGCTGAGCTGAATTACTAAATTCATTTTCTAGCTATATCAGAGCAACTCGCACTGCAGCTAAGGTATCTAGAGGAGTGCCTCTTGTGCCTGATGAAGTTGTACTATCAGTATTGACAGCCATATTAGCATTCCCTTTCTTATTTCTGAGCTTTGCTAGAAATAGATGAGGGTGCAACTTCCAACAGGTGTCCTTGGTATGTTTAGGTTTCTTAAAGTATTCACATACTAAGTCCTTCTTAACTTCCTTCTCCTTAGTATGTTTAGGTTTCTTGCACCTTTCTCCTAGTTTCTTCACTATGCACTAGGGAATAGGCTTGTGATAGTCACACTATCTCTTGTCAACAACTGTTGTCTCACAATGTCATATTCAGAATTCAGATCAGCTAGGAACTCAAAAACTCTGTTAGTTTCAACTTGCTTTCTATATGTTTGTGCATCTTTCTGACTCTCCCACTCAATTGTTTCAAGATGGTCAATT